GAAGGAAACGGACGCCAGTGCGCCTCCCGGGGCTGCCACCACGGCTGCGGCGCGCGGGCCGGGGCCCGGCGGAACCTGAGCTGACTTGGTGGGCGGTTGGCTGGAGGTGTGAGCGGTAGGCTGCTAGGTTAGCTCGCCGTCGCAGCCGGCTGTCTGGTCGGCCGGTCCGCCTGCGCGCCCGGCCTGCCCTTTCCTGCCTTTTGCGTGGGTGCCCCCGCCGCCGCCGCCGCCGCCGCCGCCTCCCGCTCGCTGTCCAAAACAAAATGGCCGCCACGCCCGGAGCCGAGTGGGACCGGCTAAAATGGCGTCGACGCAATTACGCCAGGCGTCAGACCCGCGCCCAGCCGGGCGATGGGAGAAGGTGAGCGCGACGCCTGCGCGGGGTGCGGGGCGGAGCCCTGGGGAAAGGCGGGGCTTTAGCAAAGGTGGGGCCTGAGTTACACTCCGCCCCGGCCGCGGAGGGGCGAGGCCAGGGCTCGCGGTCGGTGGTCTTGCAGGTTGTCGGTCCAGGCAGGGTGGTTGTAACCGGGACCCCCGAGGGCAGTTTCGGTCTCGGGGAGAAGGATGTCGCGGCGCCCCGCCCCAGCCAAGGGCGACCGTCTACAACTCTGTACGCGGGATTTGCCTCGGTGCCTCTTTCCGAGAGCCCCTGGGCCCCGGTGCCGGACGCGGGCTCTCTCCGAGCCGTGAAGGGCCATAGGCGCCCCGGATCCTACGCCAGTCACCAATGCCTGTGCGTAGTTTTCTCGTCCCGAACATTGTGAAATCCCTATGGGGGGGTGTCTCTGTGTCCCTGCCCCCCCTTCCATGTCCTCCCCATTTGCCAGTCCCGTGCGCTTCGATGCAGACCTACACAGGATTTTTCTTATGCCTGGGTACACAATAAAAGTACTCAGATGTTTGAGGAATGAGTGAATGAACACATCCTCGACCCTTCTGCATATACGTGCATCATGATCCTTTCGTTTCTTCCTAGCATTCGCGCGTGTGTGTGTTTAATGGTCTGGCATCCTTCCTGGATTTTACCTGTGTGTGAGAGTAAGGGTCGTGTTTGTTTTGTGCACCGCTACATCCTCAGCTTCTACACAATGTTTAGCACATGGTAGGTCCTCAGTAAATATTCTTTGCAGACTGAAGGGAAATTCTTCTGTCTTTGCAGCTGGAACTTTGAACACCTACCTTCCTGGGCCTTGAGCATCCCTCAGCCAGGAAGATGTAATGTTCCCTTGACCTCTCTCCGAGTAAGATCCCTTCCCAAGTAAGGTGAATTGGGAGTGAGCAACCTTGATTTACTCACTCCCAGACCCCAAAGGAGACAGACAGCAGCTGGCCAGAGAAGAGCCTTTAATGAAAGATGAGTTGCAGGCTTGGCCCACTACTCTTGCGCCCTCGGTGGAGGGTGGGCAAGGGTAGGAGTGTAGGGAGGGAAAAGTGGGGTGAGGGGGAAGGGCGCTGCCCACTGGGGCTGTCTGCTCAGCTGTTCTCCCAGAAAAAGTTGTTGCAGGCTACTGTGAGGGCAGCCACCAGCACCACATACTCCTGGAAGTCTACCTCCCCATCTCCATTCTCGTCTAGCTCTTTCATCACCTTGTCCACAGCATCTGCGTCCTTCTGGGCCTGTGGTGGGAGGAGATGGAGAGGTGGGTTTATAGGGAGATGAATAGTACTGAATCAGGGGCAAGGGGGGTAGCTGATTGGGAAGAAGGAGGCAGAGATGAGCAAGAGGCAGAACTACATCTAATTATGGGACTGTTCTGAGTCCCTCCTTAAAACTAACACTGGTGGCCTCCTGTCACCTACAGAATAAACCCCTTAACAAGGCGGAGTAATAATCAACATCGATTACCATATGTTGAGTGCCTAGAGAAGCTTTACAGGGATTGTCTTGTAAAATTGTTAATTCTAACACAAATAGTATGAGGTAGGTTTCATTATTCACATACTAGAGAATAAACAAATTAACAGTTGGTGGTTAAATAACATGCCTAAGTCACACAGCTGGAAGGTGGCAGGGTCAGAATTGGAGCCCAGGCCTGATAAAACCTCAAAGCTGGTGCACTTTCTCCCGGCTTCTTTATTACAGGGCCCCTGTCAGCATTTGCAGCCTGCTTTTCCGCATCCTTCACTCTGGTCAAAACTACTGAGCATGCTCCATGTTCTTTCTTCCAGGCTTTTGTTCATGCAGATACCTCCTAATATGTCTACATTTATCCTAATAAAATTCCAGTGGAAATCCATGGCTCAAGTGCCACCTCTTTGGAGAAGCCCACTTCAGTCAGGTTAGTATTGTCCTGAAGTCCTTTCTGGCAATTCTGTTAAAGCTCTGCGTAGTTCCTAAGTGGCTGGCCCAAGGATTCATGGGGACGGGGATCTAAGTGCCTCTGAGCTTCCTGTCAGCAGACTGGGGCCTCTTTTGGGGGGCTCTCCTGAACGGATCACTTCCTGGTGTTCATGGTTTACTTCCATGTGTCAGTCTTTCCCTTCTAGACCGTGAGCCTTCTTTAATGATGCGTCTGCATGGGTCCTAACACTTAACAGGTGATTAACAAATTAGGGTATTTTGTCTTGAACCAAGAAAAATCGAGGAAAGAAGTCTGGAGAAGAAGAAGATGATTGGACTGAGTTGGGGTAGGGTGGGAAGATGGTAGGGAGGTCCCCAGTTGTTGTTCCTCCACCCCTTACCCATCCCACCCTGTACCCCCGCTCTGTGCTCACGTCCAGGAAGCCGGAGAGCTCAGTCTGCAGCAGTTCTTTTAGCTCCTTCTTGCTCAGCTTGTACTTGTCTCCCTCCTTGCCCGAGTGGGCATGGAACACATTGATGAGAGTCTCCATCGCTGTCTCCAGCTCAGAGCCCATCGCGCAGCTCACCTACCCACCCCCACCATGGAAGTAAGTTGGGGACCATGCTCAGTGTATCTAGGGTTGGGGGGAGGGGAGCCCTCAGACCTGGCCCCGGTCCTGCACCTGAAATCACCCTGAGAACAGAGCCACACTGCATTTTATCTCTCACTGAGACTTTGGGATGTGGGAACCCAAACAGGCCTAAATCCAGGCTTGTTCTCTGTGTCCCTCAATCCGTATCCCAGCCAGAGGGAGTCAGGGACTGGGGCCGTGGAGGTAGAGCAGCTGGAGCTGGGCTGGCTCTAGAGGCCTGCAGTGGCCTCTGCAGTGGCTCCTGGCTGCCTGGGTGGACACTAAGGAGGGCGGGGCAGGCAGGAGGGGTGGTCACAGGACACCGCCAAGCTTCCTCTGGCTCTATTTTTACCCTGCCCTGCCTGACTAGCGCAGCTAAGCTCTGCTGCTGCGGGTGGTGAGCTGCGTTCTCTACAGCCTTGACTCTGCTGTCTACCCCTAGCAAGGGGCCAGTCTGGTGCCCTCAGCCGGCCTGATGGAGAGAGTGGCAGCCAGAGTGGCCCAGGGCTTCGTGGGGATGGGGATCTAAGTGCCTCTGAGCTTCCTGTCAGCAGACTGGGGCCTCTTTTGGGCCTTCAACTCTGCTCTCTCCTGAACAGGTCACTTCGGTTTCCCTGGGGTGCACCTCCGTTGCCTCTAGTTTGGTTCCTCTTACTTCTCTGCAGAATCAGGCCTTCCATCAGGTGATGGTGGGAAGGGAGAGAGGAATGACCAAGCCTTTCCCCAGAGCCAGGGCTCCCAGCGAGAGGGAGAGGAGACCTCTGGGGCCTTGTCCCTGCTGCTGCCCCCTCCCTCGCCTCGGCCCAGCCTGGATGATGTGGGGACCGTGGTAGTGGGAGAATGGGTCTGATACATGCTGGGGGAGATAAAAGGCTGAGTATGTCCTCTGAATTCAAGGGGAGAGAAGAAAAGAAAAATGGAGGGTTTTGTTGGGGGAGAGGGAACTGCCAAGCCGGTGGGCCTCTTCCTTTTGGCCTTGGGACGGTCATCCCTCCACAGCCTCGGGGGGCAGCTCAGGTGTCTCAGATCAGGTGTCCTTGTGTTTCTCCAGGCCTGGGGCGCTGAACAATGGGCCCTGATCGAATGACCTTCCACCTCTACAATGGGAACCTCGTGAGTGTCACCTGAACTCTGGACACGAGAAGCAGTTGTCACAGAGACCTGGGGAGATGGAACCCCAGCCGGGACTGATGGAGGGGATAAGGGTGTTTGTGGGGGAGGGCTGTTGGTGGCTCAGTTATTGGCCACATCCAGGAGGGGCACTTAAGAGGTTGCCTGGAGCCCTTGAGCAACCTGGGATTTTATGTAGGGGCCTTTTGGAGAGTACTTTGGCAGGGAGGGGGCAGACAGGAAAACAAAGGGAAAGACTTGAAGGAAAGAAGAGTCTGGAAGTCTGAGCCAAGAAAGGGAGGAGAAAGGGAAGGCCACGTGGAAGGAAAGTTGGGGGTGGGTACAGTACCCTGATGCCCCCTCCTCTTGATCTCACGTGGTCCATGCTCTGCCACCCCCAGACTTCCCTGGGGCCTGAGCCCTTGGCAAGGCTGGGTGGTGGTGGGCGTGGGGACAGAAGCAACAGTTGCATTTGCTTTCTTATTCTTACCCACCTGGAAGCAAGGTGGGAGCTGGCTCCCTTCCCCAGCACCGGGAGATTGAGAGAGCCTCGGGAGGGCCCTCTGAGGGCTCTGTGGTAGGAGGGCTTGATCTCCTGGAAGCTTGGTGGCGGGGCTCCCCACTGGCTTCTTCATTCTCTGAGGGGTACCACAGACCTCCCTCTGACCTTCACTTGCTTCCCTGCACTACTGTCCAAACCTTGTCTCCCCCAAATCCCAAACTGCTGTCACTCAGACCCCTCCCAGACCCTCGGTGCAGCAGAATGCTATTGTCCCCAGGCTTTAGGAGCCCCGCTGAAGTCCCCTTTCCCCCAGGCTGGCCGCAGCAGAGACCTAGCACAGATGGGGCAGGATACTCACTGTCAGCCTGGACCTGAGGTGGGAGCAGGTTCTGGACAGACAGACGAGTCTGCAAATGTGGCTAAGGGAGCTGTGTGGGGAGACCTGTCTTCAGTCCTTCCCCCGCTGACCCCCCCCACTGGCTCCACCCCTTCACAGACAGACGCCCAGTGGGGCAAGGGGCCAAGAGTGGACAGAGGCGCCCTCTGTCTCCTGGGCCAGAACAGGCTGCCCTGTGTCTTCTTGCCCAGGCTCAGTTGCCTCCCCCCTCCCTGCTGGGCACCAGCAGGAAGAGGGGTGGGAAAGGTCCTGGGAGGGAGAGGCCTCGCCCCACCCCACCCCCAGCACTGGCCGGAAAGGGGAGGGTCCTGCCGAGGGGTCTCAGTGAGGGGACCTCTCAGTGAATCCCTTCATGAAATCTTCCTCCACGGGGGTCTCAGCGGGATTCCCCTCTGTGTGTGGGAACTCTTGGGGGTCTTGGGCTGCAGGGTCCTTTTCAGGATCTCATGCGGAAGGGCCCTCTGTGGTGCTTCTCAGACTGAGCTCCCGGGCAGGGCTCCCTCTCGGGCCTCTGGGATGCAGAGCACACCGGGGCGGCAGACGCCCGGTGCTCGGAGGGGCGTCTGTCCCGGAGGCGCCTTCCCGCCTGCCCCCTGCAGAGGGGCGCGCGTGGGCCGGGTCGGGCGGAGGGACCCGGGCACCCCGCCCGGCTGCTGGGGGGCGGGAGGCGGGTGAGAGGCGGGCCTGGGCGGTCTCCTCCCTCCGGCATCAAGGCAGAAGCTGGACACCTCCGGGCTGGGCTGGGGCTCCGCTCCCTCCTGCCCTCCGGCTCCTGCGCCCACCTCCCCCTGCCGCGGTGAGTCCCGTGCCCCCCACCCTGGGGGCCGGGCGCCTTCCCGCGCCTCGCCCCCACCACCCCCCGCCCCGGGCCTCCCGGGCATCTCCCCGAGCCAGCTCGGACTGGGGTTCGGGAGGCTTTGGGGGGGGCCGGCCGCTGTCCTCGTGGAGGGGAGTGGCTGGAAGGGGCTGGAGGAGTGGGCTCGGCCTTGTGCCCGCTGCCCCTGCGGGGCGGCGTCTCTGCGGCCTGACCGCAGGCTGACCGCAGCCGGCTGTTTGCCTGACTCCGGGCTTCTCTGCTGGGAAGAGCGGGCGGGAGCGTGTGGGCGGGCAGGGTCCCTGCACAAACAAGCTTTGGAGACAAGCAGCCTCATGACCCCTTGGGGCCGCGTGAGCCTCCAAGAAAGGGCCCTTGGGACTGAGGGCCACAGAGGGGCCCCTCCAAAGTACCTCCTCTCAGAGGGGTCTCCAAACCGAAGGGCCACCACCGAGGGATCCCTAAGGCACTGACACTTGGAAAGGACCACCAGGCTCAGACCTAGAGAGGATGGTGTTTCTGGAAGCAAACACCCCTTCCCCCACCTGCACTGAGCTGTTGTTTCCTGGGCCCTGCCCCAGGCTCCATCCCTGACCCCTCTCTCCTGGCCCATAATGCTTCTTCCAGGCAGGGACCTGAGGTGGCAATGCCAGGGCAGGGGCATTCTGGTCTATTGTAACTCTCCCTTTCTCTCCTTCCCTGTCCTACAGAGTCCTGATGGCAGCAGAGCCACTGACTGAGCTGGAGGCCGCCATTGAGACAGTGGTCACTACCTTCTTCACCTTTGCAGGGCAGGGGGGCCGGAAGGGTAGCCTCAGCATCGATGAGTTTAGGGAACTGGCCACTCAGCAGTTGCCTCACTTGCTCAAGGTAGGTGGGGGTCTCTGGGCCTGAGATTTTGGAAGACAGTGGCTGCGGGACACTGTGGGTGTGAAGTGATGTTTCCGGGCACAATAATGTGACCCCAGGTATGTGGTGGATAAGGGTGTGGGTAACTGCGTGTGTAGCTTGGTAACACTGTGTTGATGAGAGTACAAGTGTGTTATTGGACTTTGTACGCCCCTCAGACAGAGCTATTGGGTGCTTGTGTCTGCTCTGTGCCTCTCTGGTCTTCTCTCTCCACTACAGGAGTGGGCCCAAAGGTGGCTTCCAGGAGAGTCGTAGACCATCAGTGCTGGAAGGAGGCCAAGAGAAAACACAGACCAAACTCCTCACTTCACATGTATAGAAACTGAGGCCCAGCTGTAGAAAGGGGTTTGTCAAAAATAAAATCATAGCCCAGTTCATGGAGTGACAGAACCTCAGTGTAGGAGGGACCTGTAAGTAATCTTTGACTACTCACCCCCTCTGGCAAACCCCTCAATAATGTACCAGATAAGGTCATTCCTCCTCTCCTACTCGCTGGACAGAGTAGGAGTTTAGATTTCATCCACTACGAGTTGCCTAATCATAGCAGGCTGTTAAGTTTCTTTTATACCCTATCTGAGAATTCACAGGCACGTGAAAGTGTGTGGATATGGATTTAAAAACCCACAAACAAACAACAAACACGTCTTGGAAACTCAGTCTATCATATGCAAAATCCCGTATATCTGTAGACTTCTCAGACTTTTCCCTTCCTCTTCTCTCAGGAGACTTGAGACTCCGCCGGAGGTTCAACATTCCCTGTAGCCTTGCCACATAATGACTGGTTTTTCCTCCAAATCCAACTCCCTCTGGGCCTGGAAATGCAAGAAGTGACCTCTTAGCTTTTTGTCATTGCTTCCAGATCTTAGTTTCTTCTTCCTACTATGCAAAGCTCCTTGGAACCTGCCCCCCTTCAGCTCCTGCCTTCCTGTTTCTCATCACTGCTTTTGTCGGGGTCCTCAGTCTGCACACAGAAAATTCATCCAACACCTGGGCCTTTCAACTTCTTCAACCCCTTGCTTCCAAAGATTCTGTCCTGCTTCTGATCAGCCTACTCCTTTGTTCTTGCTTCAGATCTTGTCATTACCAAAATAATGTATCACCTCCAGAATCTCAGTTTCAAGCCTCCTTTTCCCTGGGTACCACCTCCTGCCATTCCAGTTCTGTTCCTCCACTCTAGCATTTCCTCGACTCCATGGGGACCGTCAGTCTCCTGACCCTGTCATGTTTTCTTTCCCATGTCAGCCCCTCGTGTCAGTTCTCTTCTCACTCAGCTGGGTTCTAAGGCTCAGCAACGCAATCAGTCCCTCAACTCCCTTGATTCTGTTTCTCCCTGTGCTGGTTGACAGAATCTCAGCCCAGGTTAAGTCCAATATTTCACCTCCATTAACTTGAGGGTTAAGTCTACCATTCTTTCTCAGATCCAAAATAAAGCAAAAATCTCCGTTCTCAAAGAAAAAAAAGAACAACAACCCAATCAATCATCTACGAACCATTCTGCCTCTGCACTTGTGTAGCTGAATCTGGCTTCAGGAAAAGGTGCTACCATGTTGACTTGTCCTGCTTTATAATTTTTATTATTATTATTTTTTCACTGAAGTGTAGTTGATACACAGTGTTGACTTGTTTCTCTTTAATTCTGGAACCACAGACCCCAAGGGGGCCCTTGGCACAGCCTGCCAGTTCTGCTCCATTTCCCAGTTTAGTTCATTCTCCACCTCTCTCAGATGACGGTGTCACAACTCTCCCTCTCCCCTCAAACCCCAGCCTCTCTTTCCACATTCTCCCTCTCACTGAGAATTTTCTAGAGAAAATTAAGAGCAATCAGGAGACTCCTGTGTGCTGTTCCCCCAAATCTAAGCAGAGCAGCATTTATGCTGCCTGCCTGTTACCTGCAGCCTCTGTCTCTGCCTGCAGCAGCCCCTCCTCTGCTGCTCAACCCCGTTCTTTCTCACCACTTAAAATCTGGACTCTTCAGTCCTAACTCCTCTCTCTGACATCGTCAATTTTCCCTCTTCACTGGATTGTTCTGATCGGTTTCCCAATATTCTGTAATATCTCCCATCTTAAAAAAAGGAAAAAAACAAAACAAAACCCAAAACAGACCTCTCTCTTGACTCTGTAAGTCCCTCCAGTCACATCTTCTATCTCTGCTCCCCTTTATAGCAAAACTCAAATGCAGCAAAGTTACTTACACTTATTTGCTCTCCTGGTCCAAAATGCTCACTCCTTAGGTATTGGCTAGTCTTACTCTCACTGAACTCAGATTTCTGCTCAAATGGCAAATCCTCAGCATTGCCTTCCTTCACCTCAGAATGCAAAGATCACCTTCCTTGTCCTCTATTCCTTTACCCCCTTTATTTTCTTTCACAACACACCCATCACAACCTGACTTGTGTACACACTTGCATGTTACCAAGAATGTAAGTCCCATGAAGGAAAGGAATATGCTCACTGTTTTATCTCCAACGCTTAGAGCAGCTATCAAGTGAGTGAAATTAAAAAAAAAAAAAAAGTTTAAAAAAAGAGTAAGAGTTGTTGAGTGAGTAAATGAATAAATGCATCTTAACTATTGTTCTACAAATACCTTTTTAAAAATGGAACCATGGGGCGCCTGGGTGGCTCAGTCTGTTAAGCAAGTGTGCCTTTGGCTCAGGTCATGATCCCAGGGTCCTGGGATCTGCCCGCTAAGGGCTCCCTGCCTTGCAGGAAGCCTGCTTCTCCCTCTCCCCGGCCTGCCACTCACCCTGCTTATGTGCATGTGTGCGTTCTCTCTCTCTCCCTCTGTCAAATAAATAAATAAAATCTTTAAAAAAATGGATACTTTCCTGTTTTAAGAAAATGATGCACTATACATATGGTATGTAGGTTAACACAAATTTATGTAGCTAAATTTCTATTGATGGATATTTCTCATACCAATTTTCTTTTGCAAACATTCTCGTTTACGTTTCTTTACATACTTGAGGAAAATATTTAGGGTAAACGTGTGGCAGTAGAAATATTAGGTCAAAAGCATGTTTGTTTTTCATTTTTATGGATATTGCCTCCCAAGCAAGGTTTCAAGGCCAACAGTGTATACAATTGCCTATTTCCCTGTGTCCTTGCCTAAATCGGGTCGTATCAGACTTGGTTTTTGCTAATCTGATATGTGAAACTGATCCCTTGTTCTGATTTACACTTCTTGAATTCTGATTGAAATGGAACATTAAAAAGTTTTTTTGAGGGGTGCCTGGGTGCCTCAGTCATTAAGCGTCTGCCTTTGGCTCAGGTCGTGGTCCCGGGGTCCTGGGATCGGGCCCCGCGTCGGGCTCCCTGCTCCGCAGGAAGCCTGCTTCTCCCTCTCCCACTCCCCCTGCTTGTGTTCCCTCTCTCGCTGTGTCTCTCTCTGTCAAATAAATAATTAAAATCTTTAAAAAAAAGTTTTTTTGATGGACATGTATAATCCTTTGTGAACTGCTTGCTTATTTCTTTTATTTAAGAGATTTTCTTTTTCATATTGATTTATTATAGCTCTTTATAGAAGAAAGAAATTTGCCTTGTGTCTGTTGTATGTGTTGAAAACATTTTCTCCTAACTTGTCCTTTGTCCTTTGACTTTATTTTTGGTAGTTTTTGCCATACAGAATATAAAAAATTTTCATGTAGTCAAATCTGTCAAACTTTTAGTGAATGGCTGCTGTGTTTTATGCCAAGTTTGGAAAGGTCTTTCTCCGTTTAATATATTAAAAAAAAACAATTTATTTTATTATTAAAATTTTGCTGCTGAAATACCACCTTTATTATTTATTCAATTCCCATATGTATTTTGGGTCTCTTTATTGGGTTTCATTAATGTGTTTATTATTTATTAACAATTTTATTTAATTATTGTAGTTTTAATATGCCTTAATTACCTGTAGGGTTGGTTTTCTTTCATTATTCTTATTTTTCAGAATTTTGTGGTGGATCCCACAGTTTGTTTTTCAAGAAGAATTTTAGAAACGTTTAATCATGTTAAAAAGAATCCTATAGAGGGACGCCTGGGTGGCTCAGTCAGAAGAGTGTGTGACTCTTGAACTCAGGGTTGTGAGTTTGAGCCCCATGTTGGGTGTAGAGGTTACTAAAAAAGAGTAAAATAAAATAAAACTTAAAAAAAAAAGAATCCTGTAGATATTTAATTAGGACCATATAAAATTATATTTCAGGGAAAATTGACATCTTTACACTATTGAGTCTTTCAAAAAAAAGGGTACATTTTTCTCTTCATGTTTTCTCATGTTCTTCAGTTCATTTTTCTTCACAAAAGCTCAATTGATTTCTTAATTTATGACTAAGTGCTTTATTTCATTTGTTACTATTTTTTTAAAAGATTTTATTTATTCATTTTACAGAGATCGAAAGAGAGAGTGCGCACGCGCAAACGCATAAGTAGGGGGAGCAGCAGAGGGAGAGGGAGAAGCAGGCTCTCTGCTGAGCAGGGAGGCCGATGCCGGACTCGATCCCGGGACTCCAGGATCATGACCTGAGCTGAAGGCAGTCGCTTAACCAACTGAGCCACCCAGGCGCCCTCTGAGCCTTAATTTCTTATCTGTGAAATAGACTTATAATGATACCTTCCTTGTTGGATTACATTTAGTCAATCAATATTTATTGAGCATCTACTATGTCCTGTCTTGACACTGTCTTAGGCTTTGGGTTACAGTGATGAACAGGCATCTGCTATGTGCCAGACATTCTCCCTGGCACCGGGGTTACAATGGTGAACAAGGTGGACAAGGTCCCTGTCATTCCAGCAGATTATGAAGTTAGATGAAGTAAGGCATGTCCTGTGTTTAGCGTAAGCCTTGGAACAGTCAGCACTATTAAGTGCTTACAATTGTTGAAATGTTAGTCATTGTCACTCTTGGTTTTTCCTAGGTATGCAATTATATAAGTGCTAATATAATAAGTGAATTTGCCTCTTCTTTCCTAATACTCATACCTTTTATTTCTTTCTCTTGATTAATTGTATGTTTTCCTCTCTCCCCATATGTTACACCGGACATCTTTGCCTTCCACTGACAGTGCTTATCCTGTTTTACAATTAAGCGTGATTGTGGGGGCGCCTGGGGGGCTCAATCGATTGAGTGTCTGCCTTCGGCTCAGGTCATGATCCCAGGGTCTTGGATTCGAGCCCCATGTCGGGATCCCTGCTTAGTGGGAGTCTGCTTCTCCCTCTGCCTCTCCGCCCACTTGCGGTTGCTCTCTCTCTCTCCCCCAAATAAATATAAAAAATCTTAACAAAAAAGAAAGAGGCATGATTGTGGCTTTTACAAAGGTCTTGCTTAGCTTTTCTATGAATTAGCTTTAGCTTTGTGCCCTCTGGATTTGGCATGTCTTCTCTGCCTTCATGAAAATATGATTCAAATATTGAGCATTAGGCTCTGCCTGCAGCACCCTTCTCTAGCTTGACATCGATCCATTGTTCAATAGGTTATGTTTTGGTTGTGATTGTTTATCTATAACAGATCCTTTGATCATGGGTCCAGTTTATGTATCCTTTGATTTCACAGGCCTGTCATGAGAGACTTTGTCAAGGACAAAATCAGATACCCCATGTCTTTGCCATTCCTCTGATCAACCAGGCTAATAACCAAACTGGAAAAAATGAGACTACGTTGGGGTTATGCAAAGGAGGAGCTTAGGGCTGCGAATTTCTCTAGCTTTCTGTGAAGGAGGAAGGTGGCCTGAGAAGGCTCTGAGGACCCAGAGTGGGTCCGTGCCTACATGGCTCCCCAAGTGTCCTGTGCTCTGAGGATGGCCAGAGTGGGTCCGTGCCTACGTGGGCCCCCCGAGCGTCCTGTGCTCTGAGGATGGCTAGAGTGGGTCCTTGAGCAAATCACAGGTGCAGTGGTATGCTGGAGCTTACCCTCCTGTGGGCGAGAGCCCATTGTTTGCATGGCTTCCCAGCTCTGTGTTCAGTGACACCATGTTTGTGGTTCATAATCAGCCGTGGTGGGAGTGTTTACACACCAGCAGACACTACAAGTCAGGTCCCCTACCTCCTGCCGCTGCCGCCATTGGAGCCCAGCCAGTGTGGAGAGGTTGTTAACTGCCCGACACCGTGGCAGCGCTGTCCTGGGGCCGCAGCGGGGCAGGTCCTATATGAAGAGAGTGGAGATTAGCAGTTCTTGCCTCTCTCCCTGTCTTGAGAACTCTCACTTCTAACCCCACCCTTTCCTTTGGTGTCTCCTCAGGATGTGGGCTCCTTAGATGAGAAGATGAAGAGCTTGGATGTGAATCAGGACTCCGAGCTCAAGTTCCACGAATACTGGAGACTGATAGGGTTGCTGGCCAAGGAGATCCGGAAGGAGAGGGCCCTGGAGATCCAGAAGAAGTAAAGCCCTGACCAGGATAGTGCTGGGCGGTGGTAGCCAGGCAGAACCCCACTCCCTCCAAAAAAAAGCCTCTTCCTTGAAACACAAATGTTTCTTATTCCCACCCTACCCCTCTTTTTTCTCTTGAGAGTAGACAGTGCATAAGTTCTGCCCTGAACCAAGAGTGGGTCCAAAAATTATGAGCTTTCGGGGCGCCTGGTTTGGCTCAGTTGGTTAAGCGTCTGCCTTTGGCTCAAGTCATGATCCCAGGGTCCTGGGATCGAGCCCTGTGTCGTCTCCCTGCTCTGCGGGGAGCCTGCTTCTCCCTCTCCCTCTGAAGCTCCCCCTGCTTGTGCTTTTTCTCTGTCAAATAAATAAATGTCTTAAAAAAATTATGTACTCTTTAAGGACCAGGAATGTTAGTCATCTTTGGATTCGACAGCATCTAGCACCAGGTCTTGTACGGGGTAGGTGCTCAGTAAGTAAATGGTTGATGAATGAGTATATGAAAGGAAGGAACAGATCTCTGGGGCAAGTGTAGTGAGTCCTGTTCTGCCAGGTGCCTCCTTAGCTCCCACTTTTCTTATTCCTGGGGTTTGTGTCATTGGATGATAAGGATAGCAGTGAACTTGCGTTGAGGGCTTGCTATGTGCCAGGCACAGTACTAAACACTTTTCCTGTGTTAAGTTAGTTAATTCTCACAGCCCTTTGAGGTAGGTACTATTTTTTTCCACATTTTTATTTAAATTCGAGTTAGTTAATAACATATGGTGTATTATTGATTTCAGGAGTAGACTTCAGTTCTCATTTGGACTTCCATACACCACCCAGTGCTCCTCACAGCAGGCGCCCTCCTTACTGCCTGTCCCCTGTCTAGCCCATCCCCGGCCCACTGCCCTCCAGGGAGGTGCTATTTTTAGATCCTATGTTAGAGATGAGGAGGCAGATTTTAGAGAGGCTGAGCTCTCAAAGACAAGAATAGGTGGAACTGGGTTGATGTTCCATAGCCTCTGTGAGGAGCTAGGATCATCTCTGGATGGGCAGCTTGGGAACACTAGGCCCTCCTCTCCTTCCTCCCTGCATAGCAGGGTTGAGGCAGAAGAATGGACACAAGGATCTGGTATGAAGACTGTGGGATGGACGGTGGTGCCCCTCTCCCCATCCTTCTTGGCTTGAGGGGCGTATGGTTTGCATTGCCCGCCACCAGAGGGAGCAGAGGCAGGGCAGCCCAGTGGGTGAGGCCTTCCGGCGGTTGTCACTGCCAGGGTCTGGTGTCCATTACTCCAGAGGGACATTTAGGCTGAGACAACCTCCCTACTACACACCAAAAAAGGGTCCTAGGTTGAGACCTTCCATCTAAGTGCCCTCAGACTGAGAGACCCTACAGGGACCCCCAGGCTGCAACTCTTTGAGGGGTCATTTGGCTGAAGACATTCCAGAGGGGATCTCACAGGGGGCTTCCCCACAGCGAGAGACTCTAGGAGGGTCCCCCAGACTGAGACTCCTCAGTGGGATCCAAGTTTGAGGCACTCTTGGAGAAACCCTCAGATTGAGCCCCTCAGGGGGTCCCCAGATTGAGACCCTCTGAGGAACAGGGATGATGAGACACTGTTGGGAGGGCCTTTTCATGGAGACACTTCTAGCAGTACAGGGGAGCCCTAGAAGGAGACACAGGGACGGGCTGGGAGGGGCGTGGGAGACATGCTCCTGACCTCAGAGTTCAGGCTTTGGGCCCCCCCCCGCCCCTCCTTGCCTTGACCCACACTAACTCGCCTGCCCTTCTCCCTTCCCCCTCCGCATCAGGTGAGGAGGTCCACTGGGGTCATTCCAGGCTTCCTGGGATGTCACCCTGGGCACTGGATTGGGGTGGGGGGGCGGTTAGGGAAGGCATGGCTTTCTGAGGGAGGGAGAAGCAGGCAGCCCAACCTGTTTGGAGGGGTAGTTAACTGCCAGGTAACCCATCTGGGTCTCTCTCACACATGTGCGTGCTGGCCGAGGGGAGCTGAAGGGGAGTCGGGACAACACTCAGTTGGGCCCCCTCTACCAGGCTGCCCTTCTGTGGCCCCTTCCCCACCTCTCAACCGTGGGGACTGCAGCTATGAGTGTCACCACCCAAACTGGCCCCGGTGGGAGGAGTATGAGTACGTGTGTGTGACATGGCAGAGTACAGAGTGGTCCCCGGGGACCTCTCTCAATTCACATGTCCCTCATTCCCTCTGGACCACAAGCCCTGCCTCGATCAGCCTCTGATTCTCCTTCTGAAAGCCCCTCCACTTCCCTGCCCTACAGTTCTTCCAGGATTTTCCTCCCGGGCTTGACCCCGCAGTGTTGCCAAGCCCCCACTCTTCCCTTCCCTTTCTCGGGCCTTGACTCTGCCTGCTGGTCTGGGGCCAGGGGCAATCCAGACCCAGCCCTTCATGGTCCCCTCCAGTGGCAGGGTGGGCGGGCTCTTGGAGCTCTGGCCAATGGAGGGTGGGGCCCACGCCCCTGGCTCACAGCCCAGACGACAGTAAGAGCAGGGGAGGCTTCGGGAGGAGGCCCAGCCCCCTGCCTTCCCTCCCTGCCCCCAGGTATAAGAGCTGAGCTCAGGTGCGCCAACTCCTCGCGTCCTGTCTCAGCAGCTCCCAGCAGGTAAGGAGACACAGCGCTTTTCAACTAAATGGGCTGCCCCCTGTCCAGCGGCAACACTTGGCTATTCTACCCTAGCCTGCCAGGAGAAGGGCTGGGAGCCAGGTCCTAGAGGCTGGGGGGGGTGTGTGTGTGTGTGCGCATGTGCAGAGCAGAGGTGAGTGGTGGGAAGAAGTAGGAGGACTGATCCAGGGTGAGGCCCTCTAGATGGGTGGGCCTGGGGGCTGTGACCTTGGCTCCTGCCTGGATCCTTCACAGGGACCGGGCCTCGTGTGGAGCTGGCCCCGACCTCCTGAGTGAGGCACAGAATATCTGGGGTACAGCCAGAGGGGATATTTGAGAAAGAAATGCTGAGCCCTCCCATCCCCTCCGTCTCCCTCCTTCTCTAGGCAGATCATGAGCCATCGGCTCCCCTGGAGCCAGCTGTAGGACAACACAACTCTCACCAGGACAAGCGCACCGGGCACCATGGGACAGTGTCGGTCAGCCAATGCTGAGGTGGGCCCATTCATGCCTGGCCTTTCTGTTCCCATGCTCCACTCCTCCACCTTGAGGGTCTGCGTCCCTACTGACTTCTGCCCCCTTGCCTTGGCCTTGCCTTGTACCCTAGACCTTGCCTGGAAGACCTAAACTCCTCTCTGGTGTCCACACAGGATGATGTGTCCACACCAGGAGCCCTCCTGGGAAGAGGTGTCTATGCCTCATGCTAGAACCCATCCTGCGTGGAGGCTGTCACTGACAGGGAGGAAGCCTTGCTTGGCCTGTGGCTCAGGGCAGAGGCCAGTGGGGGCAGGGGGCTAGATGCTGGGCTCTGGAGTGGGTGGGAGCCTCTGTGCCTTCCAGCTGTCTTCTGCCCCATTAGCCAGGGTGTTGTTGGGTGGGTGGAGCCTCCCTGATGTTGGTGATGTCCCCTGCCCTCAGGATGCGCAGGAATTCAGCAATGTGGAGAGGGCCATTGAGACCCTCATCAAGAACTTCCACCAGTACTCTGTGGAGGGTGGGAAGGAGACGCTGACCGCCTCCGAACTACAGGACCTGGTCACCCAGCAGCTGCCCCACCTCATGCCGGTACTGAGTGGGCCCCACCCCAGGCAGCACCCTGACTTCCCTAGCAAGGTCTCCAAGACCCCACCCACAGTGGCCCGGCCCCAGGCACTAACAACCCCTAGCCCTTCCCCTTGCCAGTGCCAGGTAGGCACAGGTCCTGCGTCCTGCCCCCGGGCAGGGTGGGGCAGGAAGACGGGAGGTTCTGCCTTGCTGAGCTGCGGTGTCTTCCCTCCCCTCAGAGCAACTGTGGGCTGGAAGAGAAAATTGCCAACTTGGGCAGCTGTAACGATTCTAAACTGGAGTTTGGGAGTTTCTGGGAGCTGATTGGAGAAGCAGCCAGGAGTGTGAAGCTGGAGAGCCCTGTCCGGGGCAGCTGAGAAACTTTTCCTGGAATTCTTGAGGGGATGTTGGGGTCTAGAAATAAAAGTCCTCTCCACCTGCACCACGTGACTCCCCCGTCTGCACCTGCCTCACCTCTGCAAGGTTCAAGTCCTCAGTGACCCTTCCCAGGGCTCTCTGTGCACTTCATCCCTGGGAGCGCCATGGAGCTACCGGGTCCAGGAGTCCCCCACCAGAGGGAGGCTCGGGGGTGGGTGGGGGCCGGGGTTAGGTGTGGTGAGATGCTGGAGGGGTGAGCGTGGTGAGAGGGCCAAGTAATTTGGTTCGGGGGGGGGGGTGGGGGGGGGGGCAGAGAGGAGGTGGGCTACCGGAAATGATTGGAAGGAAGGGGCTGGGAATGGGGCTGGGCATTTGTTACTAAGAAGGGTCTCTGAGAACCTACCCTTCCTAATCTCTTCCCCCACCCACACAGTAGCTGTCTGTCTGGTGCTGCACCTTCCTGCCTCCAGCTCTGCCCAGCCTCGTCCCAGGACTCTGTCCCTGGCCTAGGGCAGGGGACGAGAAAGAGCAGGCTGAGGGAGAGGCAGAGGAGGGTGTGACTTTGGGAGAGGACCAGCTGGGTGCTTGGGCATTTAAAGGATGATGGTTGTTTTGTATCATTTGATTAATAAAAAAATGGAAAAAGAAAAGATGTTGTCTTGACTGGACATCTACCCCCCACCTCGGTCCCCAGGTGATTTGGGGTGAATGGCAGAGTCCTTGGTGGCCCGGGACACGTGGGGCTGCGGTGGTTGCAGCGGGAGTGAGTGGGGGACTCACTTTTCCCCATGGATTTGGCTTGGAGGATGGGTCCCAGGCCCCAAGTTGGGAGACCTGGTTCTCTCTGAAGGATAGGCTTCTCTTTGCCCAGGGGCTGGTCCTCTGACAAGAGAGAGGCCACGTGTGCTCACCTGGGGAAGCGGTTATGGACCCAGGTGTGCTGGACCTTAGCTGACTGGCAGCAAGGGAGAGGCAGGGCTGAGAAACAGGCCGAGCAGCCTGGGTTTGCGCCCAGCTCTCCTACTGATTATCTCTGGAGCTTTGGGCATGCTCCCAGAGTGTCAGTTTCCTCATCTGTAAAATGGAGTCTCCATATCTCTCACAGATTTGTTAAGACGATAGTGGACACATCACATAAAGTCCTTAGAAGAGAGCCTGACACAGAGCAAGTGCCCAGAGCTGAAGTCTCCACTGGCCAATTCCCTTGGGTGTCCTGGGGAAGGGGTGGAGAGGTGTTTCCAGAAGAATCCTCTGCTGCACCTGACAGGTCCTAGGAATGGGTGTCAGCTCCTGGTGGTCGGAACGGGAGTCTGAAGGCCAGGGGCCAGGCTCTGCTGCGGCTTCTGACTGGGGCCCACAGAAATCAGGCATTACTCTTGAAATCCTAAGAGCAAAGAAGTTTCTGTGGCCAACCAGGCTGGCCTGGAATGCTCATTGAACTTGTCTGTTGGGGGACCCTGAAACTGGGCTCCCAGTGATCCAGGTGACAGCCCTTCCCTTTCTTCTCCACTGACTAGATTCTTTCTGCTCAGGCCCTGCAGGATGAGGAGGGTGGAGTGTGGGGGGGTGCCTGCTTCCACCACTCCCTTTGGGGTGGAGTGGAGGGGTGTTAAAAAAGGTGTGTATCCCTTTAACAAGGGCCCAACCCCAGGGCTAAGCCAAGAGGGAGCTCAGTCACTACCTCCCCACTGAGCCAGCTCAGCCAGGCACTGCTGAGGGAGTGGGACAGATTCTGGGAGCGAAGCGGGGAGGAGTCCTGGCCGAGCTGAGCGGGGGGTGGGGGGAGCAGCTTGGCAGTGCCAGAGCCCAGGCCCCAGAGCCCTGCTGGAGAGGAGACAGTCCGAGGAGGCAGGTGAGCACCCCCAGCCCATCCTGGGAGGTCTGGGGCTGCTGGAGAGGCCCTGCAAGCATTTGGGGCCAGGAGGAGGGGCAGTGAAGGGAGCCTGGAGCGGGGGGCCTGCTAGAGACTGGGCAGGAAGGTTCGGTTAATTGTTAATTTTCCCACAGGCTGGTTTGGGGTTGGAGATTTCTGGTGGGGCTGGGGGCTGGAGAGGCCTTCAGAGGCGTGGATGGGGTGGGGAGACCCCCCCTCCCTACCCCAGAGGCTGACGGGTCTCTTCTCCAGGGCCTGCGCCGCAAGGCAGAGTGCTCAGGAGCTTTGTCGCAGCTGCTCCAACCCTCCCTTAACAGAAAAAGGACAAACGCGTGTTGGTGGGGGTTGGGAGGTGGTCCGACCTGGACACAGGCCTCAACCAGCTTTGGGAACCGTGTCCTGGGAGAGGTGATGGGGTCCAGGAGGAACCAGGAAGGGCCCAGCGAGCCTGAGACCCCGAGGAGAGGAGACTTGTTTCCACTTCAGGACCCAGGCAGGTTGTGGCTTGACTGGCTTTGCTTGGCGGAGCCACCCGCACTGTTGGGGCCTTGCGGTGCCCAGCCCTGTAGGGTTGGGGGTGAGGGCAGGGGTGCTCCGAGAGGGAGCACTGCAAGTGCTGGTGGGCCGGGCTCAGCCTTACTTGCTGACTAGTAAAGAGCTCTCTGGCTGTTGGTGAGACCAGGGGCAGTAGGCTGCGTGACTGTCCACACCATATTCCAACTCCACTTATCTGGACACTGCTCCAGAGGAGTAGGCTTCGTCCTCCAGAGACATGCTCTAAAGCAGAGGTGGGTGGACACGGCATGGGGGCTCTGTGTGTGGATGCGTGAATTAGATGCAGTGAGTCCTGTGAGGGTGGGGGGGCAGGGGCACCTGTGTGAGACATTAGCCTCTGGAACCAGGAAAAGAGTGAGAAGACAGAGCACAGAATGGCGCTGTTGAGGTTGGAGATACTGAAACAGCCTTGTAAGTAGAGTGACAAGGTACCGGCCAGTTCAGATCACACTTTCCCTGGGTACTGAAGGCACTTGGGGCAGACGAATGAATGAAGAAGGAAAGGAATGAGTGAATGAACAAGAGCACTAGCAGGTGATTGAATGAGTGAATAAATGAGTTGATGGATGAAGAAGGAAATAAATGATGAGAAATGAGTGAACTGGGGCGCCTGGGTGGCTCAGTTGTTGGGCGTCTGCCTTCGGCTCAGGTCATGGTCCCGGGGTCCTGGGATCGAGCCCCGCATCGGGCTCCCTGCTCAGCAGGAAGCCTGCTTCTCCCTCTCCCACTCCCCCTGCTTGTGTTCCCTCTCTCGCTGTGTCTCTCTGTCAAATAAATAAATAAATAAATAAGAGAAATGAGCGAATGAATTTGAGGTGTATGAAAGGGACACAGGAAACGCCAAATTCAGGCTTGAGAGTGGGCCAAGCTCTAGAGAGGACGGTGACCAGGAGGCATAGAAGTTCAGGGACACCTCCTAACACCTAGAGACCATTCGAGACTTGAGAAGAGTATGTGTAGTGGGGAGAGAGGGTGGATTTGTGTGTGGTGGATGTTCAGGGCTCCAGACTGAAGGGGACTGGCGGTGGCTAGGAGGCAATTGGAGGGGTGAGGCCTAGAACCTGGGGGTGGGAGGCGGGGGTGCTGTGGCCAAGACCCAGGGTCAAGGGTCAGAGCGCTCCTAGGCTTGAGGAGAAGTCAGCAAGCAGGACTGAGGTGGGCGGGGATGGGGTGGGGCCTCTGGGTTGCTCAAGGATGAATCAGCTAAGGAAGGGACAAGGAGAACATTGCGGGAGGGTTGGGGGCTCTGGGTAAGAAGGCCCTTTGGAGGACAAGTGGTCCCCCCACTCCTACATTTTGGGAAGGCTCTAATGTACACGTCCACCCCACTCCCCAGGCTCTCAGGCCAGGACCTACCTCCTGCCAACCCTTCCTAGGAGGGGCTGATGGGACAGCTTGACCCTCCAGCCTGATTCCACCTTGGCTGGTGGCTGATTGCGGCAGGTGGGAGGGGCAGGTGCCTGTGTCCTGGCCTCCAGGGGAGGGAGGGAGGAAGAGGGTAATGGCACCTGACTATCCCACTCTGATATCCTTCCTCCAGAAAAAGCTTGGAGAAGCACTTACCCAGATGGCTATCTCCCGCCTTCCCATGTGGCTAGAAGGTGGGGGATGGACTACTGGGGACCAAAAATCAGGGCTGTTGAGGCAGGCAACTGACTGTCCTGGGTGCTCAGCTGTGTCTGGCCTGCTCGGCTGCCAGAGGCCAGGTAGAGGCTGGGACGTGGTATCAGGAAGGGCAGGAGGAGTCAGAGAAACAAGACTAAGAAAGGTGGTGAGGAGGGTGGGTGGGCCAGGGGGAGGGGGTAGAGGCACAGCACCCGAAACCTGATTTCTTTCTCTTTCCTCTCCCTGACTAGTTCCCACAGGGTTCCTCACTTAGGAACAAGGTCTGGAACGGTTTAGGTTTGGGGGTTCTCTGAGCTACCTTCCTACTCCCAAACCTTGGTGGGGAGTAGGCTTGGCACAGTCCTTGCTGAGGGGGGTACAGCTTTTGGAATCCCCAGGAATGCTGGTCCTGGTCCTGGGCCATTCCCCACTCAGGGGCAGCAGAGCACTGGTTTGTGGATCGAAACTCTTCTCCCTTGTCATTTGTGAGTGTAGGGTGTTTGCATGAAAGTCTTATATTGAAGGGAGCCTGGGTGGCTCAGTCGTTAAGCGTCTGCCTTCGGCTCGGGTCATGGTCCCAGGGTCCTGGGATCGAGCCCCGCATCGGGCTCCCTGCTCGCGGGAAGCCTGCTTCTCCCTCTCCCACTCCCCCTGCTTGTGTTCTCTCTCTCACTGTCTCTTTCTCTCTATTGAAAAATAAATAAAATCTTTGAAAAAAAAAAGAAAGAAGGAAAGTCTTACATTGGACCTCGCAGTCACACACCTTTTTTTTTTTTTTAAAGATTTTATTTATTTATTTGACAGAGAGAGAGAGAGAGAGGGAGAGAGGGAGAGGCAACATGCCCAGAACATGTTCCTGCAGGGGGAGCAGGAGAGGGAAAAGCAGATTCCCTGATGAGCAGGGAGCCCGATGCCCTATCCCAGGCCCCTGGGATCATGACCTGAGCTGAAGGCAGACGCCTAACTTTCTGAGACACCCAGGCGCCCCAGTCACACACTTAATAGACAAAGAGCATGGGGGAAGAATGTGGTTTCTTAGAGTCCCAGTTCCATTCTCCATCCTCTAGCCACAGACCAGAGTGGTCAGGTGGGCAAGGCAGGGACAGAAGGCAGCGTCCCTGGTCAGAGACACTCCTCTGTCTCAACCCCCACTTTCTTCCTCCATTAGGGCCTCATCCCTCTGGGTCACATCCTTCCTTCATAAAGAGCTTCGTAAGGGAAGTATCTTAGAAGGGTGGTCAGGGGCTTTGGATACCTGGTACCAGGGCTGGAAGGAGGTAGAATACTTATAGAACATACACCTCAGGTAAGCCATTGCGCCAGATGATGCAGGCGAGGGGAGATGCAGAGATTAAAAGCAGGGAGCTTATGTACTTAGGATTTTAAAAAAGTGGTCCTGAAGTCTATGAGTCATGCCCTTTGGTTCAGAAAACACAATGGCTGCATGTAAGAAACTATCCTTGCCTCAGGGAATGCCTGGTATCTGGGGAGACCAGACCCCGGAAGAGACGGTAGCCCCCGCCAGTGCGGCCTGGGAGTCTGGGGGCCAGGGAGGCAGGGTGCCAAGGGCAGGGGATAGGGCTGTGGTGAGGCCTGGCCAAGCAGACCTCTCTTCCAGGTCGGGCCACGGGATGCCCAGGATGGTGGCTGTGTCCACCTTCCCTTGCCAGGACCTGACAGCAGGGCAGCTGTAGCACATTCCTGGGCTTGGGGGCGGGAGGGGAGGCTCATTTGCCCCGGTTCACTTGGGGGGGCTCTGGGCATGGGCGGCAACTCACAGAGTAGACCCGCCTGTTCCCCTCATATCCTGTTATTCAGAAGGCTGTATCCGCTTGGACTGTGAGTGCCTTTTGTCCTGGTGTGAGGGGTGATACATGTGGTCTCTGGCGGCAGCTCTGTCTCCAGCTGGGGCAGGACCAGGCCTAGCTCCTCCTTAGGTAATGGGCTGGAGGGTCTTTGGGTCCTCCTATGTATTTTGGGGTGGATATGAGGGAGGGCAGCCTAGCAGGGTGTAGGTGGGGTTCTGCAGAAAGTCTGACTCAATGGATGAGGGTATCGTCCTTTCCCTTCCCTGGGCTCCTGAGGTCCCTGTCCTGGTGCCCAGCTGAAGGGACTGGGGAGGGCCTAGGTCCCTGCCCCCTGCTCTGTGGCCTGGGCCAGGGTCTCTGCCAATCCTGCCACTGGGGGGTTACGGCTTCTGGCCTCCCTGCCCCCTTCTAGCTGTGTGCTTGCTCCCAGGGCAGGGGCCCTGGGTGGGTCAGGTGTGGGGAGGGCAGAGGGATGGGCACTTACTCTACCCCCTTCCCACGGGAGCCTCCTGATCTCACTGGGGCTCTGACAGGCCAAGTGCCTGGGGCTGGGGCAGGGCCTGGGGAAGCTGCTGGGGGAACCTGTTGGGGCGGTCGAGCTGGTGAGCATCTGGATTACAGCAACCACACAGTTCGCATTCCAGGCCCACCCTGGTGCCCCCTTTTCCTGTCTCATCCCTCCTGCCTCCCTCCTGCCAGCCTGGGGGCCCAGGGGGCGGATGAGGGCAGGGGGCCGGAGGCGGTTGGGACTGTGAGGGCTCCTCACCTCCCCTGTTCGTGGTGCCCAGGCCCCCCCCCCCCGAGCAGTACGGCGGTGAGATGGCCGACTGCTACACGGAGCTGGAGAAGGCGGTCGTGGTCCTGGTGGAAAACTTCTACAAGTACGTGTCTAAACACAGCCTGGTCAAGAACAAGATCAGCAAGAGCAGCTTCCGGAAGATGCTTCAGAAAGAGCTCAACCATATGCTGACGGTGAAGTGCCCCCACCCAAGGGCCTTGTCCACCCCCCAAGCCTTTGTCCTCACATGGGTACCCTCCCTCACTGTGCCTTCTGTCTTTTCAGAGTGACCCCCCAAAACAGGGTCTCCCCCCTCCCCGCCCAGGCCTCTGTCCTCTCAGGGTACCCAGGCCTGACCAGGGAGGGCTCGGTTCGAATCTTCCCAGGCAGCAGCTACTCAGGCCAGAGCCCCAGGAGTCCTGCCTTGGGCTCTGCGGGGCCGCTGCCCTCAGTACTGCTGACTCCCATTCCTCTCCAGGACACGGGAAACCGAAAGGCGGCCGACAAGCTCATCCAGAACCTGGACGCCAACCACGATGGGCGCATCAGCTTCGATGAGTACTGGACCTTGATAGGCGGCATCACCAGTCCCATTGCCAACCTCATCCGCCAGCAGGAACAGCAGGACAGCAGCTAGAGGACCCTCCCACCTTCCCTTCATGGCGCTGCCTGCCGCCCAGCCCCTGGTGCACTTCCCCGGCTCCCCTCGGCCTCCTCTGCCCACCCAGGCTCCCACCCTCGCTTCTCCCTCCAGACCTTCTGCTGGCCCTTGCTGAACAGGGCAAAGGGCCCCTTTGTGATGTCTCAGTCTGGGGGTGACTCCTTAGGGGTCTTAGTCCCTGGAGCCAGCAGGCTCTGAGGCCCCCTCTGAGTTTTCAGTGCTGTTTGGGGGGTCCCACGAGTTTCCTCACCTGCTTAGCCCATCAGCCCTTCCAGCGGCTGATGTTCTGCCTGATTCGGGGTCTCTCCCGACCTCTGGAGGTCAGCTTGCTGCTTGAGGTCTTCCTGCTCCTGGCAGCGGCAGCAGAGCTCTCCCCTTTCTCTCACCCCCTTTGCTGGGTAGAGAAGATTCCCAGGGACTTCCCTCCCAGCTCTGGGTCAGGGGACAGCTGAGCAGGGCTGGGCCCCCACCTTCCTACTCACTGAAGCGATGGCAGTGAGGCTGGATTTGGAGTCTGTACCCCTTACCCAGTCCCGTTGTGATGCTCATTAAAGCCTTTCCGCTCCCTGGAACCTCCTCATTCCTTGGTGGTCTTTGCCCTGGGGCCTAAGGCAAGGGGGAATCTCACCAGAGAGAGAAGCCAGAATGCCTGGGTCTGGCAGGTGCTGTTAGCCCTGGGTCAGAAGCAATCCCCATCTGGCTCCATGAAGGGTCGAAAGCCATGTGTCACCATCCCTGGGCCCTTGTAGCCCCCATTCAGACTCCTGTTCCACTTCTGGGCACACAGTGTGTCCCATTAGGCCTCTTTCCAGTTCCATAAGAGAGCAGCTGCAACCCTCAGCCTCGACTCATCCTCATCAACAGATTCTTCTAATACCCAGAGAAGTTTGTGGGATGGGAAAGTAAGGGTGAAGGAAAGGGGTGTGGGAGGCCAGAGCTGACCTGCGGGGCAGGGGGGCAATGCTGGCTTCTCCCTGTTCTTGCCCTGAGTGAGACAGCACCCCGCCCCTCTGGAAGGCCAGCAGTAAGGCAGGAAACCCAGGCAGCAGGCTGCAGATCAAGGGTGTTCCACCTGGGGTGGTGTGCTCCAAAATTTCAGATTTTTCAGAAGAGGCACAAGCACAGGCTGTTTTATTGAACTCCATTTACAGATCCTCGAGTTTTTCAGATAATCTGCTCAGGACAGGCCTTTAGTGGTGAGCGGTCCCCTTCCTCAACCCCCCTTTACGGTGACCCCTCCCCAGTTACCCTTTGCCTGTCCTGAGGGTCACTGTGCTGCCCTAAGTGGGGAAGAGCTTGTTCACATTTCTTTGGGGGGGGTCTCTATATATGATTGTGGTAAAAAACATGTAACATAATTTTACCCTCAACAACTTTTTTTCCCCCAAGATTTTATTTATTTGAGAGAGAGAGAATGAGCAGGGTTATGGGCAGAGGGAGAAGCAGACTCCCCATTGAGCAAGGAGCCCGATGCGGGGCTCGATCCCAGGACCCTGGGATCATGACCTGAGCCCAAGACGAATGCTTCACTGACTGAGCCACCAGGCGCCCCTCCCTCAACAGCTTTTAAGGGTACATTCTGGTTGTTAACTACATATACTTTGTTGTACTGCAGATCTTGAGAACTTTTTCATCTTGCATGACAGAGACCCTGTACATCAAAGAGCAGACCCCTCAGCCCCTGGAAACCACTATTCTACTGTGTGTTTCTATGAGTTTGATGACTTTAGATATCTCAGATAAGTGGAATCCTGCCATATTTGTCTTTAGGGTTGGCTTAAATCACGTGGTATAATGTCCTCACGGTTTATCCCTGTTGTTGCATACACCACCATTTCCTTCTTTTTAAAGGCTGGATAATATTCCATTCTACGTATACCACATCTTCCTTATCATTCACCTGTTGGCGGACATGTAATTTGCTTCTACTTCTTGGGAGCACTAATATCTCTTCAAGATTCTATTTCCAGTGCTTCTGAGATACACCCAGAAGTGGGATTGCTGTTAGTTTTATTTTTCAAATTTTTGGGGAACCTCCGCAGTGGCTGCACCAGTTTGCATTCCCACCGACAGTGCACAAGGGTTTTGATTTCTCCACATTCTTGCCAACACTTTGTGTTCTGTTTTTTTTTTTTTTTTTGATAGTGGTCGTCCTAACAGGTGTGAGGTGATATCTAGTGGTTTTGATTTGCATTTCCCTGATGTTGAGCATCTTTTCATGTGCTGTGGACTGCATATCTGCTTTGCATAAATGTCTATTCAATGTCGATTTACTCTCTCTCTCTTCTTCTTCTTCTTCTTCTTCTTTTTGAGTAGGCTCCATACTGGGCTTGGAACCCAACATGGGGCTTGAACTCACAACCCTGAGATCATGACCCGAGCCGAGGTCAAGAGTCAGACGCTTAACCAACTGAGCCATTCAGGCGCCCCTATTTGCTCATTTTAAATTGGGTGATTTGTATCTTGTTGTTGTTAATACTGAGTTGTAGTTCTTTTGTATTTTTTTTAAGATTTTATTTTTTTTAATTTTATTGTTTAAATTTTAAAACTTTTTTTTAAGTAATCTCTACACCCAGTGTGGGGCTTGAACTCACCACCCCGAGATCGAGAGTTGCATGCTCCACCAACTGAACCAGCTGGGTGCCCCTTTATGCATTCTTAATATTAACCTCTTGTTCAATGTTCGGTTTGCAAGTATTTCTCGCCTCTTGTAGGCTACCTTTTCACCCTGTTGTTCCCTCTCCTCCGCAGAAGTTTTGAACTTTGATGTAGTCCCCTTTGTCTATTTTTGCTTTTGTTAGCTAGCTGCTTTTGGTGTCATATCCAAGAAATCATCGCGCATTACAATGTCATGAAGATTTCCCCCTCTGTCCTCTTCTAGGAGTTTTATGGTTTTAGGTCTTATGTTTAGGATTTTAATCCATTTTGAATTAATTTTTGTTTGCGGTGTAAGGTCTGGGTCCCACTTTATTCTTCTGCAGGTGGATGTCCAGTTTTCTCAATACCATTTGTTGAGGAGACTGTCTTTCCCCATTGTGTAGTCTTGGCAGCCTTGTTGAAAATCATTTGACCATGTAACTAAGGCTTTATTTTTGGGCTCTTCATTCCATTCCATTAGTCTATATGTCTGTCTTTATGCCACTTCCATAGTGTTTTGATTACTGTAGTTTTGTGGTATGTTTTGAAATCAGAATGTGTGAGGCCTCTAGCTTTGTTCCTCTTTCTCAAGATTTTTTTGGCTACCTGGGGTCCTTTGAGATTCAATATGAATTTTAGGATAGTTTTTTTCTATTTCTGCCAAAAAAAAAACCACCTTTAGAATTTTGATAGGGATGCATTTAATCTGTAGATCACTTTGGGTAAGACCAACATTTCAACAATATGAAGTCTTCCAATCCATGAACATAGGGCTTCTTTCTATTCATCTCTTCTTGCTTTCAGCAGTGTGTTCTGTAGTTTTCAGCAGAGGAGTCTTCGGCCTGCTTGGCTAATTCCTAGTTATATTATTCTTTTTTTTTTTTTTTAAAGATTTTATTTATTTATTTGACAGAGAGAGACACAGCGAGAACAGGAACACAAGCAGGGGGAGTGGGAGAGGGAGAAGCAGGCTTCCCGCTGAGCAGGGAGCCCGGTGTGGGGCTCGATCCCAGGACCCTGGGATCATGACCTGAGCCGAAGGCAGACGCTTAACGACTGAGCCACCCAGGCGCCCTATATTATTCTTTTTGATGCTGCTGTAAATGAGATTATTTTCTTAATTTCCTTTTTGGACTGTTCAGTGCTAGTGTATAGAAACACAACTGATAATTTTGAGTGTTGATTCTGTGCCAGCAACTTTGCTGAATGTGTTAGTTTTTTTAGGGTTTTGTACATATAAGATCATGTCACCTGGAAACAGAGGTAATTACTTCTTCCTTTCCCGTTTGGATGTCTTTTATTTCTTTTCAATGCCTAATTGCTGTGGCTAGGACTTCCAGAACTTTGTTGAACAGAAGTGGTGAGAGGGGGTGTCCTTGCTAAGTTCCTGGTCTTAGAGGAAAAGCTCTCAGTTTTTCACTGTTGAGTATGACGTTAGCTGTGGGTTTTCATATATGGCTTTTACTGTGTTGAGGTATGGTCCTTCTTTTCCTAGTTTGTTGAGTGTTTATCATGAAAGGGTGTTGAATTCTTTTTTTAAAGATTTTATTTATTTATTGGACAGAGAGAGACACAGCGAGAGAGGGAACACAAGCACGGGGAGTGGGAGAGGGAGAAGCAGGCTTCCCGTGAGCAAGGAGCCCGATGTGGGGCTGGAGCCCGATGTGGGGCTCGATCCCAGGACCCTGGGATCATGACCTGAGCCGAAAGCAGACGCTTAACCACAGAGCCACCCAGGCACCCCAGGGTGTTGAATTTTGTCAAATGTTTTGTCTACATCAATTGTGATGAGCATGTGTTTTTTTCTTTTATTCTGTTAATGTGGTGTGTTATGTTTATTGCTTTTTTTTTTTTTAAAGATTTTATTGATTTATTTGACAGAGAGAGAAAGAGCACAATCAGGGGGAGTGGCAGGCAGAGGGAGAAGCAGGCTCCTTGCTGAGCAGGGAACCTGACGCCGGTCTCAATTCCAGGACCCTGGGATCATGACCCAAGCTGAAGGCAGATGCCCAACTGACCGAGCCACCCAGGCACCCCTCGTTTATTTTTCTTTGAAATTCTTTCTTTTTATTAAGACTTGATTTTTTTTTAGAGCACTTTTGTGTTCAGCAAAATTGAACCCACACATGCACAGCTTTCCCCATTGGTGACATCCTGGACCAGAGCCGTACCTTTGTTACAACTGATGAACCTCCACTGATACCTCACAACCACACAAAGTCTGTAGTTTACATTACGGTTCACTGTTGGTGTTGTACCTTCTATGGGTTTGGACAAATGTGTAAGGACATGTATCTGTCATTATAATATGTTGCAGAGTATTTTCACTGCCTTACAGATCTTCTTTCTTCTTTTTTAATGTAGATGCTCCCTGCTATAAACTTCCCTTTTGGCACTGCTTTTGCTGCATCCCATGTTTTGGTATGCTGTGTTTTCATTTTTATTATTATTATTATTATTATTATTATTATTATTATTAAAGTAGGCTCCATGCCCAGTGTGGAGCTCAGTGCTGGACTTGAACTCATGACCCTGAGATCAAGACCTGAGCCAAGACCAAGAGTCAGACACTTAACCGACTGAGCCACCCAGGTGCCCCTTTATTTTTTTTAAAGATTTTATTTATTTATTTATTTATTTATTTATTTGAGAGAGTAAGAGAGAGCATGAGTGAGGAGGAAAGGGAGATGTAGCTTCCCCCTGAGCAGGGACTCTAACGTGGGGCTCGATCCCAGAATCCTGAGATCATGACCTGAGCTGAAGGCAGATGCCCAACCGACTGAGTCACCCAGGCGCTCCTTTATTTTTTATTTTTATTTTTAAAAAATTTTAGGTAATCCCTACACCCAACGTGAGGTTTGAACTTACCACTCTGAGATCAAAAGTCACACGTTCTACTGACTGAGCCAGCCAGGCATCCCTGTGTTTTCA